TAGAGCGTCTGTAGTCAGGTGCACACACACACACACACACACGATGGCCCAGCATGTAGAGCGTCTGCAGTCAGGTGCACACACACACACACACACACACACACACGATGGCCCAGCCTGCAGAGTGTCTACAGTCAGGTGCACACACACGATGGCCCAGCATGTAGAGCGTCTGTGGTCAGGTGCACACGCACACACACACACACACACACACACATGATGGCCCAGCCTGCAGAGTGTCTACAGTCAGGTGCACACACACACACACGATGGCCCAGCCTGTAGAGCGTCTGCAGTCAGGTGCACACACACGATGGCCCAGCATGTAGAGCGTCTGTAGTCAGGTGCACACGCACACACACACACACTCACACGATGGCCCAGCCTGCAGAGTGTCAGGTGCACACGATGCCCCTGTCTGCGGAGCAGGAGGAGGCATGCACATTTGCATATGTACTGAGTCCAGGGCTATAGAGAATCCAAATCGCACCACATGCTCACTTCAGAAACAAGTCAAACAGCAACAGGACATGACGAGGGGTAGCCTGCCTCACAGAACTTTCTTCCTCAGACACAACCACGGGCGCTGCCCCTGCTCCCCATGGCTAAAGGAAACGGGCCCCTTGTCTGCCTGTGCTCCGGGCGCAGGAGGGAAGGGGGGAGGGAAGGCTTCCTCCAGGGCACTGTGCTCCCGGTGCCTCTCACATCCTCCTCACTCAGCAGCTCTGCCCGCCGCTCACGGCCAAGGGATGCATCTCCCTGCGAGGAAGCTGTTCTCAGTAACACTAGCAGAGGACACATCCGGTGAATTTCAAGTGGCCGGAGAAGTGACTTCACATCTACAAAGAAAAACTACGTGGAAACTCAAAAGGAAGCCAACAAGCCTAAGGAATACAGGAGATCGCTGATCTGCTTCAGGAAATACGGGCTTTGAGCTCTCGGAGGCGAAGGTTTTAATAAACACATCTTGATGTTTCTCGGGAACAAGGTCTCTGGCCACTTCCGAATGTCGCAGTGAAGGTTGAACGACTGACGACGGCTGCACAGCGCACGGGAGACGTGAGGTTCTCAGCAGCCCTCCGAGCCGAGCCACGGGCGGCCGCCCCGGCGCCACAGGGCTCAGTGACTCACAGAGCGGTCCTGGACCCGGGGACCAGCCTGCGGAGAGACCAGCTCAGACTGCTCTTGCTGCGGTCGTGACACCAACTGCCAACAAGGCTTGCTGGTTTCTAGAAGATTCCTGGCTGGTTCTGTTTCTAGGACAACAGCAGGCAACCCTAACTGCCACGCGTCTGCGAAGGCCCCGCTCTCGGTGGCGACAATGGTCCCGCGAAGAGGGGGGCTCTGGGTCCTGAGCCCGGGGAGCCCGCGCTGGGGCAGGAGAGCCGTTCCTCTGCGGGGCCAAGGCTGCGGCTGGGAAGCGAGTTGCCTGATAGGCCTCGTGCTGGACGAGGATACGGCTTCTTCCAGAAAGGCTGCAGCTACTTCACCCTGGCACACTGCCGGGGCTTGGCTGAAACACCTCTTCCTCCTGGGAGCCGTCCCAGCCCCCGGCCCCTCGGACGCCCCGTCCTGTCTCAGCACAGCCCGTGCCCTCACACGCGGCACCCGTCAGCCACACCTGCTTCCTGGCGAGGCTGTGAACTCACACCAGCACGAGCCCGGGCCTGCGCGGGCCAGCACAGAAGGCCGTGCACGGAGAGGTGCTCGGCAGCAGGCGTCGAGAGGACTGAGGGGAGTGTGTGCCCAGGGCATGTCACAGGGCAGGGAGAAGAAGATGGAAGGACGTGCACTCAGTGAAGATGGCCGTCTCAGAGCCCGCTGGACAGGGTGTGCCCTCGGCACCCGAAGGACCTCGTTACAAAGCCGTGGGGCTTGTTCATCAGTCTCAGGGAGACTGTGGCAGACCAGACCACGCAGCACCAGGGCCATGCCGGCTCCCCCTGCCGCTGTCCTCTCCAGTCTCCCCTCCAAAATGCACCCACTCCACCTCCGGGCAGCAACTCCATGATGCCAACCATGCCCACAGCCACAGCAGAGACATCCAGCTGGGACCCGCAGCCCCGAGATTGCCCCCAAGGGCGTCTCTAGGTGCATGTCCACTTCACCTGACACCCCATGCACCAGACAGAACTCTGCTGCACCCCCTTTCTGTCCATGCTGCCGCCCTTCTCCTGGGAACAAACCGCAGTGATACATCACTCTCTGTCACTCTCAAACATGACACAAAACCAGCAAAGCTGGTTGAGCATTATGCTTGATGTCTCCCTGGCTGGTTGCTTTTATGTCAACCTAACCCACAGTCTGCCCGTGGCTGCTATTTTGACAGCGCCTGTCTGGAGACGGTCTCCCCAGCTCCCTCTCCCTGCTGACTCTGCACGGTCACCTCACAATGCGGCCCCGACCGTCCGTATCTGCCCCTCTCTGCGCCTTCGCGGGGGCGGTGCCATGGAAACACCACAGGTGCAGCCGCGGGCCCCTGCCAGGAGCCGTCAGCCTCAGCTGGGCAGCACCAGTAACACCACTTCCAGCACCGGCCAAGTGCCGGGTGTGCACAGAACACTGTCCCGTCCACCCTATTTCACAGGTGTGGTCACTCAGCAGGAAGGGTGAGATGTGGGTTTGAGCTCCTGTCTGTCTAACCTGCCTGGGTCCCTAACCCTGTGGAGAGCTCACCGCCAAGGACCAGCCACGGCAGAGGGCCCAGGCCCTGCGGGCACAGTCATGTGACCCCTCACAAAGCCCGCTGGGCACCTGACAAGGAGGGGCCCTGCCACACAGGCTCCATCTGCCTCTCCCGCCAAGGCCGTTCCTCCCATGAGGCGGCTCCACAGTGACCCCGCCCCACACCCAGTCCCTCCACTGCCCGGGGTGGCCTCAGTTAAACGGTCAGCTCCCCAAGTCGGCACAATGCCCCCCGCTGCACTCAGGAGCTCGGGCACAGGTGACATCTCGACCTGGCCGAACCCCTGCCTTCCCTTGGCAGGCGGCCTCGCCCCCTCAGGGCTGCTGTGAAGATGGTGTGTGTTCATGAGGCCCGAGTCCCTCAGACAGGCCGCCGGCCCGAGGCACCGCCGTGAAGTCACTGCAGGGGCTGGGGCATGAAGGAGGACGGCCGGCCAGTCTCCAGCGGGAGCAGCGTCTGTGGACCCTGCGCGTCAGCGATGCACACGCACATCTACGTGGGGGTCACAGTGCCCATCGCCCTCCCTAGGTCCAGGCAGAGGAAAGCCAGAGCACCTGCCTTCTTGGTGACTCAAATTCCTTGTCTAATAATAAAACTACATCACTGAAGATACTCAGTAGAATACGCATGACATGGACGCATGTGGGGGGAGGGGTGCTCACTCCTGCTATGGGACGCACATGGGGGACGGGGTCCTCACTCCTGCCGGTGGGACGCAGGTGGGGGACGGGACACTCACTCCTGCCGCGGGACGCACGTGGGGGACAAGGTCCTCACTCGCGCTGCGGGACGCAGGTAGGGGTCGGGACCCTCGCTCCTGCCGCGGGACGCACGTGGGGGACGGGACCCTCGCTCCTGCCGCGGGACGCACGTGGGGGACGGGACCCTCGCTCCCGCCGGGACGCAGGTGGGGGACGGGACCCTCGCTCCCGCCGGGACGCAGGTGGGGGACGGGACCCTCGCTCCCGCCGGGACGCAGGTGGGGGACGGGACCCTCGCTCCCGCCGGTGGGACGCAGGTGGGGGACGGGACCCTCGCTCCCGCCGGGACGCAGGTGGGGGACGGGACCCTCGCTCCCGCCGGGACGCAGGTGGGGGACGGGACCCTCGCTCCCGCCGGGACGCAGGTGGGGGACGGGACCCTCGCTCCCGCCGCGGGACGCAGGTGGGGGAAGGACCCGCGGGAGGCCGAGCACAGCCAGTCCGCAGGGCTGCAGAGGGCTGCACAGAGCTCAGCTCGCTGCTCACACCAGGCCAGTGCAGCCTGAGGAAGGGACACAGGTCCATGGGGAAACCGGCACATTGGGGTTCAGAGCAGCTTGATGCATGATCGCCAAACACTGGGGCCCCAGGCGTGCCAGCAGGTGAAGGTCACAGGACTGTGGCCCATCCCCCGAGAACACTGCTCAGAACGAAAGGCGCAGGGCACCGATCACAACTACCAGATCACAACTACTGGGAGGAGCCTCCAGGGAGTGACGCGAGCGAGAAGAGCCTCTGTCACGTGACGCCTGGCGGGTTCATCTACAGAACACTCTGGAAGTCCAATTCACAGGGTGGAGCTCAGACTTGTGGACCCAGGGACTGAGGTGGACGGGGCCCCTGGCTCTGGACTGTGACCACAGGGGAGGCCCCGGGAACGGCAGGGGACGCGAGGGCAGCGAAGTCGCCGTGCACACGTGGGCGGTGAACACGGGCCTCTGAGCCAGCGGGGAGGTTCGCTGGTCGCCCTGGGGAAGCGGGGGAAGGGCGCGGGGTCTCCGCCATCCCTACAACTGCAGGCGGGTCTGCAGTGACCCCAAGTGCGAGCCTGGCAGCAGGGACCTGCGAGTTCCTGAGGAGGGTCCCTGCGACCGCCCGGGGCAGTGAGGGCCAGGGGCCCTAGGGCAAGGCCCCTGGAACCGCAGGTGACACGTGGGCAAACACGCTGAGGATGACCCGCAGAGGGCTTGGGGTTCAGGAGGCATGAGCCTGGCCCCAGAAGCACGCGCCCTCCGCCGGCCTAACACGGCTCGAGCCTGAGAGCCGAGTCTGCGCCACCAGGGGCCACGCAGCACCGTCGAGGGCACCTCCCGCCGGCCAGGAAGCGCGTCTGAGATGAAGGGGCCCTGCAGCCCTGGCTCGGGACGCGCAGGGTTTCCGCAAAGGCTCCCATCTAGACAACAGCTGGGACCAAAGTAAGAAGAAGGCGAGCCACATGCCGCGTCTCCTCAGGGGAAGGACAGGTCGGAGTGCGCGCAGCTCCGCGGGCGATCGCGGCACGACCCGCAGGTCCGACCCGCGGGCTGCTCGGCGGACGGATACGCAGAACCTACCAGGCGGTGCTGCCGTGGGCCGCGCTATCCAGGCTGCAGAGCAGCTCCAGCGCGTGCGCGGTGCTGGACGAATCGTCGGGGGACTCGTGGCTGCCGGGCTCCGACTCCTCGGGCATCCTCCACACCGCGGCGCAGGTCAGGAGCCTGCTGTCTGCAGCTGGCAACAGAGGGGCGCGTCAGCAGGGGTGCGCGCGGCCACCCTCCCCAGACCACGGCGCTGCGCGCACAGCCCGGCCCGGGCACCCCACTCCGCGCGCGGGGACCCCCGGTCAGCAAGCAGAAAGGCCCAGCTCCCTCTTAACCGCTTCTTCCTGGTCTGAAAACCATAATGTCCTCAAAATCGATTTCCTTCTGTTCCTCCTCAACAGTTCTTTAAAAAACGGAGCGAAATCACCACGGATGCAGCTCGGGTCTGTCTCATGTTGGCATGAAATGGATTTTTGCTCACAGGCACGAAGCACGCAGGTCCCTAAATTGTGTCCTTGGTGCTGTGAGACCCAGAGCACTGGGCGGTGAGGACGGGGACCAGGAGCGCACACGGGAAACCCGCGCGGGCTCTGCTGCCGGACACGCACCACCGGCCTCTGCTGGGCACAGCGCTGCAAACCCCCGCACCCCCGCATCTCCTCCTCCCCGCTCAGAGCACCCCCACCCCCACCCCGGCTCACTGCCGCCCCAGGGTCCTGACGCTCCTGATTTTGAAGATGCTCCTGAAATCTGCACGTTATCAGAGCACCTTGAAGGGCCGCTTTGTGGATAAAGAGACTAAACTTAGATAAGAGAGACCGGGGTCACTTGTTTTCCGCGGATGCGCCAGGCTCCGGGTCTGCCCCTCTAGAACATTTTTCAATAAGACAAAAGAAATCAGATTTAACATTATGCGATCTGTAATGCTTTCAACAACAAAGATAATTTTTTTAAAAAGGTAATTTGATGCCAATACATTACAATTAGTAAAAAAATTAATCATGAATTCCTAACTATAAATCCTTTCAAAATCTACTTTCCTTTCAGTTCTCTTTTATTTATTTACTTATTTATTTATTTTTTATCCTCACCGGAGGACATTTTTTCATTTTTGTTCAGATAGAGGGGGAGGGAGAGAGAGAGGAAGAGAGAGCGAGAGAAACATCAACGCGAAAGGGACACATCGAGTGGCTGCCTCCCACACCCCAACCGGGGCCGGGGACAAACCGCAGCCGAGGTGCGCGCTCTTAGCGGGAACTGAACCCGGGTCTCTCTGGACCGCGGGCCGGCGCTCTAACCGCTGAGCCAAACCGCCCACCATGCTTTCCTTTCCGTCCTAACCCACATGCTTAACTAAACACCTTCCCCTTTCAAGACGCCCTTGGTCCGTGGCGGTGACACATGCCGTGTCCGTGCTAAGCCGGCGATGCAAGTGCACAGAGAGCTGGGGGACGAGGGAGGGCACCTCGCAGTATTCCCTGCGCATCACATAAGAGAAAACACAAAGGACCGTACATTCCATTCGGAATGTCCCGCTTCTCATCGGCTACAACGGCCCTTCAACCTAAATACCGACCAATGGACCAAGAAACACGGCGGCGAACACACGAGCACACCGCCGCGCTTGCAGGTGTCGCCGTCCTCTGCGCTACCACAGCCAGAGGAAGCGGAAGAATGAGGGCTTCAACCCGGGCTCTCTGATCCCAGGCTCGGTGCTCACTTCCTGAGCCTCGAGGGTCTGAAATCCACACACCCGGCTGGAAGAAAAGGAATCACGTGTCACAGACACGGAACGTCCGCACTTCCGCTGTAGCTGTGGAGACGCAGGACGGTTTCTGTCTACACAAGAGATGGATTTTTTGCTGAAACTTTCGATTAGTCTTCACAGCGCCTCTGAGATGGGCGGCGGCGCTCGGGGCGAGCTCTGAGGCACAGGCAGCTGTGAGTGGGAGACGGGCAATGAGGCCCTGGTGGTGCTCCTGAACGGCAGGACCAGGAAAGCCCGATCTGGACAGGGGAGGGACGGAGACGCGAGCCCTGGACCGTGGCTGCGGCATGCACGGCAGGCCCAGGTGACAGGTGCGGGACAGTGAAGGGACAGTGACGCAAGCCCTGGACCGTGGCTGCGGCATGCACGGCAGGCCCAGGTGACAGGTGCGGGACAGGGGAGGGACAGTGACGCGAGCCCTGGATCGTGGCTGCGGCATGCACGGCAGGCCCAGGTGACAGGTGCGGGACAGGGGAGGGACAGTGACGCGAGCCCTGGACCGTGGCTGCGGCATGCACGGCAGGCCCAGGTGACAGGTGCGGGACAGGGGAGGGACAGTGACGCGAGCCCTGGACCGTGGCTGCGGCATGCACGGCAGGCCCAGGTGACAGGTGCGGGACAGTGAAGGGACAGTGACGCGAGCCCTGGACCGTGGCTGCGGCATGCATGGCAGGCCCAGGTGACAGGTGCGGGACAGGGGAGGGACGGAGACGCGAGCCCTGGACCGTGGCTGCGGCATGCACGGCAGGCCCAGGTGACAGGTGCGGGACAGGGGAGGGACGGAGACGCGAGCCCTGGACCGTGGCTGCGGCATGCACGGCAGGCCCAGGTGACAGGTGCGGGACAGGGGAGGGACGGAGACGCGAGCCCTGGACCGTGGCTGCGGCATGCACAGCAGGCCCAGGTGACAGGTGCGGGACAGGGGAGGGACAGTGACGCGAGCCCTGGACCGTGGCTGCGGCATGCACGGCAGGCCCAGGTGACAGGTGCGGGACAGGGAAGGGACAGTGACGCGAGCCCTGGACCGTGGCTGCGGCATGCACGGCAGGCCCAGGTGACAGGTGCGGGACAGGGAAGGGACAGTGACGCGAGCCCTGGACCGTGGCTGCGGCATGCACGGCAGGCCCAGGTGACAGGTGCGGGACAGGGAAGGGACAGTGACGCGAGCCCTGGACCGTGGCTGCGGCATGCACGGCAGGCCCAGGTGACAGGTGCGGGACAGTGAAAGCAGCTGCTGCTGCAGACACGGCGAGGGGCACACTCCCCGCCGCAGACTCCTTCCTGGGAGAACTCTGTCCAGGTGTCAGGAAAACAGCTCTTCCCCCGTGACTCCCTGCTCACTGGGTGAACACAAGAGTTGGGGGTGAAATGTGAACACTTTCCCCTTGAGAAGAGGCACTAAACACGGTGCTGAGCGTCACCGCTTCTCGTTAACATTATGCCAGAGGCCCTAACTACCTCAAGAAAAAACCAGAGGTAAGCAAATAGGGAAAGAAATAGAGCATTACATGCCAACGAACACGTGTGTGGGAAATTTGAGAGATTCTACACTATTTATACAGTTAGAAACAAAACAGAAAATTTAGCAAAATTGCTGAACACAAAGGTGACATAAAAATTAATTGGATATGTACAGACTAGCAAAGAATTTAGAAAATGAGATGTGAAAAGTATTAACAATCACATTACAAATCGAATCCCCAATAATACGTGCGGCTCGCGGCGCAGGCCTGCGCGTGGCCGCCCGAAGGCGGCTGAGAGGTCACGTCCTGCAGGCGGCGGGCGCACCGCAGGGACCGGACGCTCACTCCGCAGTCTCTTGAGCAGCAGTCAGGACCTGCTCCCGAATCTCTGAAACTTACTGGGAAAGGGAACCGCCCACACAGCCAGGACGGGCGTCAAGAGGAAGGAAAGCAGACGTTTTACAGCCACCATCAGTGTGGAGCAGCCCAGGGGAAGAAAGTGGAACGTAGACAGCCCTTAGGGAGCCGGTCACTGACGCAGGCCAACCCGCCCTGCAGTGGGCGCAGGAGTCTTGCAGAGGGGGTGCTGGGAGAGCAGTGTCCACGTGGAGAACGAACTCGCATCCGCCTCACAACAACTCAGAAGCCAGTTCCACGTGGACTGGGGGTCAGAGGGAAACACGGAGGAAGACAGGTCTTTTCCAGGACACGTGGTAGCAGATCGCACAGCCTGGGCTCAGCAGGTGCTTCCTCACCAGGGAGGGAACGCCGATCACAGCAGAGAGACTGACAGACGGGCCACATCAACACAAAGAACCTCGCCCTGGCCGGTCTGGCGCAGCAGTTAGCGTGTCGGCCTGCAGACCAGAGAGTCCCGGGTTCAGTTCTCGCTAAGGGCACGTACCTCGGATGCAGTTTGTCCCCAGCCCTGGTTGGGGTCCTGTGGGTGGCAACCAGTCGATGTCTCTCTCACGTCGATGTTTCTCTCTCTCTCTCTTCCCCCCTCTCTCCCTCCCACTCTATCTGAAGGTAAATGCAAAAATGTCCTCGGATGAGGATAAAAAAAAATGAAGAACCTTGATTCACCAGGACATTGGGCCTCATCAGAAGGAAAGGCTGCTGCTCTTGGAAGCACAACTGCTCACACATGAAGCAGAACTGGGAGCACATCTGCCTGACACACCTGCCAACACGCCTGCCTGACACGCCCGCCTGACGACATGCCTGACGACACGCCTGCCTGACACAGGGCTTGTCCCAGAATACGGAAGAATTCTCACAACTTAGTAAGCCAAATGACCCAATTTTTAAAAGTGGGCAGAAGACTGAGCAGACCCTCCACAAAAAACCCCGCAAGTGGCCGATGGCAGCAGGGAAGAGGCCGGCAGCCACAGGGATGCAGAGATGCAGCGGGAGCCATGCTGAGCTCCGGTGCCCTGCTGGGCTGGGATCCGGCTGAGAAGATGGAGGTGCTGAGTGGAGCGGAGGAGCAGAGCGATGCTGGAAGAGCGTGCGCAGCCCGGACGCACAGAACACGCTCTGGCAGCCAGGCCCCCACCACCAGATGACCCGTCCCTCGAGAGGCTGCAGGGCGCGTGGCTCGTGGACAACCAGCCTGTGACACTCTCTGGCCCCAGACCAGGAGGCCCGGTGACAGCCTACAACTGCCAGAGTCAGGCTTGGCAGTCACCGACGAGGCCAGGGTGCCAGCCAGGAAGGCCAACTGGCCGGGAGCTGGGAGACGGTGCCCTGGGAGAAAGCAGATGGCCCGCACCGGCACGCTGCCGGCCCAGCACACGCGTGCACACACACGGACAGACTCAGAAGGAAACAGGAGTGAGTGGGCAGGAAGCCGAGGAAAGTCACCCCTTCAGAAGTTGTGATCCTTTCCTGCCTCCTGGCCGAGCTAGCTAACGGTGGGCACGGCAGACACGGTGACCCTTGCTGGGGCGGCCCTCA